TAGACAAACATTATGCTAATGCACAGACCCCCAGGAGCATGTACATACCTGCGGGCTGCATGTGGCACTACACACATTTACACACATACACACAGGCCGCTTTGTGGAGCTCACGGGAGGATGGAGGTTTTTGTGGTGACAGATAGCAGATCTGGGATGTGTATGACTGGAGGGGGGCAGGCGCTTGACAAAAGAGCAAAGACACTGAGCGAGAAGGGATTGAAAAAGAACCAGAGAGGAATAAAGGGATGAAGGGGACAGAAGGAAAGACTGAAGTCCAGCTGTTTCCACTCCTGAACGCAGCCTTGCCTTCAGCGCTGTCCTGTTTTCCTCCAATCTTTGCACTTCCACTTGCTCACTTGCTGACTTTGTTTTTTTCCCTGCTTCATCTTTTGTATTTATTTATTTTTTGATGCAGCAGAAGATGTGGCCGACAGCTCTGCACCACCGCTGATTCACTTGCAGACAAATTAAAACTATTTGTTGCTTAAAAGCAGCCTTTTGAATTCAAAGACAAAAGATGGTGGGGTGACAAAGAATGGCCCGCGTGTTGTGGGGGAAATTCGCCCCCAAATGTTTAGATGCCCCCCCCACACACACACTTCCACCCACATCCTCTCCCCTTTTCTTCTCTTTCTTTTGTCACAGAAGCAACACATTCATTCTCATTTGATGCAGAAATTGTCTTTTTGTGATTGATTTGTTCTTTGTGGACATGCACAATAAGGGAGTGTATTGTTGAATTTCTTGCTTTTTTTTGTACTGTTATTATATTTATATTGACAGCAGTTGGCTGGAACAGAGAATTCCTTCGATAAACAGATGCACACGATCGATGCTTTGAGTCAGATTCAACTGTATGAAGTTCAGCTAGTTGGTATTCTCATATTGTCTTTTTGCAGCTTTTTTTCTTGGGGAAACTTTCAAAAAAATTCATCCATGAAATTGAAATTTAATTTTGCTAAGTAAGAGCGTGCGTGTGTGTGTGTGTGTGTGTGTGTGTGTGTGTGTGTGTGTGTGTGTGTGTGTGTGTGTGTGTGTGTGTGTGTGTGTGTGTGTGTGTGTGTGTGTGTGTGTGTGTGTGTGTGTGTAGGAGGATGGAAGGGTATTTGTGTCCAGCTGGTGGAGTTTTATATTTCTCCCTGTGATTTATTTCTCTCAGTTTACAGTTGGCCGTCAAACTTCATGGGTGAAAAACTGCTCGCGTTGCAGAATTTCTGAGGAGACACAGATAGTGTTTATTTGTTGAAAATTTATGAGCGTCTTGTTATGTCGCTGCCTGTCTTCCCTCAGGCTCTCACGCACACATGGACACACATAAAAGTATATCTGTTTCCGTTACTTATTTTTGATGTTTGCATTTCAGGCATTTAGCTGATGATCTCATCCAAAGCAGCTTTCATTCTTCCCCAGATTATCTGTCTGTGAACACCACTGTGGCTTTGGATAATTCCCTTTGAATCATTACATTTCTTTATGTTGATTTGCAGATCAAAGTAGACAAGTTGTACTGTTGGATGCAAAGCATGCAGAGAAAATATCTCTGACCTGACATGTCACACACACACACACACACACACACACACACACACACACACACACTTGTTGGCATTCACGTGCGACTTATAATATATATATATATACACATATATATATATATATATATATGTTTTGGAGCTCAAAGACTAAAGGTAGCTTCTTCTTGACCTTCATTCATTTTTCATCCATACTTTGCATTTTTGCCATGCATGCAGTCTCAGGTCAGTCCAGTTTTCATCCATCACTTCACACCCTGGCTGCTCCGGTCCTCAAAGACTGAGACAACAAGCTACACAAGTCTACAGGTAGATGCTGCACCACTCCCATGCAGCTACTTGGCTCCTTTCCTGGTGAGCTCTTTCCCAGAAACTATCACAGTCATCATTAAGGCTGCAGGGAAAATATGTGTTGTCTGATAAATTTGTACCATTTTGTGAGGGAGTATGAGATGCAATAAAACCAGATTTGTACTTGCTGTAAGTGAAGACTTTAGAAACAACAGTTGGCTGTGTGATAAATAAAAGTTATATATATAACTTATTCTTAAAGCTCCACTAATTACATTTTTATATTTACAAAGGATCAAATAACAAAGTGTGAAAAGAGTTACTCATTGTCAATTGTCATCTGAGTTCCCTGCATTTTCTTTTCTTACAAAGCTTTTTTAGCATTGTTCAGCTCATTTCCTTTTTCGTTAGCCCACTAATTGAGCATTTAGCTATGCTGGATGTGCAAATGTTTACTAACACAGTAGCTATAAGTAAGTTGTGACCGGAAGGTTGTCGGCTAATCCATGGACTGGCAGGATAGATCTGGGTAGGGAAAGTGAAGAAGCAACGCTTGCCCCTCCCTCATTACCACCACTGAGGTGCCCTTAAGCAAGGCCCTTAACCCCAACCACTCCAGTGGATCTGCTCAGTGGCAGCAGATCAGACTGTGGTTGTACTGGGCAGCTTCCAGGTAGCAATGTGTAACAGTGTGAATATGATTAGGTCGTTTCTTCTCAGTCAACATTCCCTGAACAAATAAAGGTTAAAAGGCGTCGCCTACAAAAACATTGTTTTCTTATGGTGGGGTGCGCCTGACATGCACTCCTCTCTTGCACTGTGCGTCTTGGTGTTTTTTTTTTTTATACGTGCCTAAAAGTTACAATGTTTTCCACTCTTCAGCACAAGACACAAGAGTGTTTGTGCTTGCCTCCACTGGAGCAAGCTGAACTAAGAATCAATCGCACTTAACTTTAAAGAATATGTGGTGTATCCAGTGTAAACCTTTATTCTGTTCTCACCAGAAACAGGCTTTCACTCTTCATCAGACTCCATAGACAAAAGAGGTCATTTTACCTTGCACATTATCGTAAAGCCTTCCAGTAAGCCTCTTTGCTTGCTGCTTTGATTTAGCAAATTACAATTTTTGGTTCAGTTGAAGTTCAATTTTCAAGTGACATTTTACTTTTGCTCCGTGGATATCTCAAACCATTTGATAGATGCCAGATGGGGGTTGGACTCTTGAATCACTGAAATTACCAGTCCAGTGTGTTAGTTCCATAAAAGCTGATCATTGGTTATAGTGTTTCAAGTACTTAATGCAGTTTTTGCAGCCAATAAAATGACACTGGGTCCAAAGTGTAATGTTTACTTAAGAATTTCACTGTGTGAAACCAAGAGAGAGGTAAATGTTGCACTTTAGGACCCACAGTGCAGTCTTTGGGTTAGGCCCATTACCTTCAAGACAGCGACAGAAATATTGATTGAATTTTTATTTTGGAGTGGAGAATTCCTTCAACCTTGGTTTGTCCAGTGACGAACGAGTGAACACTATCAAAGTCTGACGAAAAGGAATATAAAGCATCTTTTGATTGTGCGGTGGCGTGTGTGTATACGTGTGCCTTTGTGGAGGTGCAGCCCCTCATTTACGGGGCTTTTTTGGTGTCTGCTTGACAACTAAACACAAGCCCTTCTGCCAAACAAATGGTAGCTGTGTTGGGGAGAGGGGGCGGCCCCCGGCCCAAACTGCAGAGATGGGCACTCTTTGACAGCTGCTTCATCTTGTTATTATTCCTCCTTCACACTCAAGGATTTTTGGGCTTCCTAAAGTATTTCTGTCGCTCTCTCCTTCCTCTCCCTCCTTCTATCCCCACCAGCTCTTTCTCTTTTTCTGTCACCCGGCTGTGATTGGCTGTTATGACAGAGCCGTCGCCGGGCTGTCAGCCTCTTCTAAAGCTCAGTTTAATTACTCCTTTTCACTAACATGACACGTCCATGCACAGATGCATGCAAACTCGCACACACGAGGGAAAGTCACTCCCAAACACATACACTGACACACAAACTGGCTTGCTCAGCTGCACGCCGCGCCGTCCTGGCAGTAATAAAAAAAATAAGCCATGGTGATTGAACCCTCCGTCAGCCGCTCTACCTGACAAAGCAGACCCCCAGATGTTTGTCAGTGTTGGCTCTCAGCAGAGCTTTGAAAACATCATGTAGATTTGTGAAGGGCCGGCCGCCGCTGGGTTTGATGGGCGCCGATCGATCGCGCGTCCTGCTGCGCCAGCCTCTGAATAGCCAATTAAAGCCATTGAGACGGAGTAGAAAATGGGGGGTGATGCGAAGGAGTCGGTGTTTGATTAGAGGAGGATGATGAGAGAGAGAGAGAGAAAGGGAAGGAAAGATGCGGCAGCGGTTGCCAAAGTCAGTAAATGTTTAATATTCTGCGTCGTAAACTTCACAATGATCATTCTTTGTGCTTTCCCTCCTCATCGTTCCTCCAGATAAAGATTCCCTGACGGATGCGTTCAGCTATGCTTCCATAAACAGAAGACAGCAGAGCACTGGGTTGAGACCTTGACTGATGGAGGGAAGCTAAGACAGATGTACAGATTTGCTAGAAATGGAGGGGAAAACAATGAGGAGAGCCTTGTCGCATGTGAATGCCAAGCTGTGTGGGATGGGTTTCATGTCGCCCTCTCCTTTTCTTCCCCTCCCCACTCGATGCTACCTGTCTTTCCTTCGTTTCCTTTCTCTCACCCCCTCTCCTACATTTCCTGCCTTTCCTTCTCCCCTTTCCATGTCCCGATGTCTCCCTCAATTTTCAATTTTCTCCTCGACCTGGCCTTTATCTTCCATCCTTGTCTCCTCTCCTTTCCTTTTCTCTCTTACCTTTACTACTTCCACCTCCTTTCTCCTAATTTACACCTCTCATCTTCCTCCCCTCTTGTCTTTTCTTCTGTACCCTCTCCATTTTCTCGCATTGTTATCCTTTATCTGTCCTTCTTCATCAAATTTTGCCACCTCTCTACATTTCTCATTGTCACTCCCCAATCACTCCCATCTTCTCTTCTCTTTCATTCCCCTGCATTCTTCCTCCTTACCTGTTTCTCCCATTATTTTCCTCCCTCCCCACTTCTCCCCCTCCCTTTCCTTTCCATCACTTCTCAACTTTCCCCTCTCCTCCCCTGCCAGGTACCCTGCCCTATGACATCAAGATAGTAATTGCCGGAAACCACGAGTTGACCTTTGACCAGGAGTTTATGGCTGACCTGATCAAGCAGGACTTCTACTACTTCCCGTCTGCCTCCAAGCTGAAGCCAGAGAATTATGAGAATGTCCAGTCGCTGCTCACCAACTGCATCTACCTGCAGGACTCCGAGGTCACAGTGCGGGGCTTCAGGATCTACGGCTCCCCCTGGTGAGTAACCCCTGCTTTGGCACTGAACACAAGAGAAAACTCTTAGTGCAGTTACGGAAAAAAGTACTTGGTTGAGGTTTCACTTATGTGTGGCATTTATTGTTAGCTAGCTTCTATAAAATTGACACAGTTTTAGTGAACAGTTTTATGGTCTTATGTTTTAAGGTTGCACGTTGGTGGCCCCAAGTGCAGCAGAAGTAAGTAAGTAATTACAGAAACATCAGACCTATATTTCGTCCTGTAGTGTCTTGGAATAGTCAATGAAACTTTTGGTAGTAGGGTAAGCCGTTGGTGAATCCTGATTCCTATGTCTGGAGTGCTTGGTTGCACTGTGACTTCAAAGGTTTTTTTCCTTTGTGTGTGCCGAGAACATTTACCACATGTGACCACAACCAGCTCCTGAAAAAAAAATTCCTCCAAAGGTCAACACATAGCTATTATGTCTTGTAGCACTGCATCATTTGGTGCCCATATGGCACACACCACATACAGATGGGTGTGCTTTGACCCTGGGAAAGAAGACTGGTTCGTCATTAAATAAATCGAGGATCCAGTTTGGTGTGTAGCTTTGCATTCAGGCAGTAACCTTACCGTGCCACATGGTCTGTTACACAGAACCATCTGGGAAGTCGTCGTGCAGGCACTTTAAAAATATCTGTCTATCATGTCTATCAACTTCAACCAGTCAAATCAACAAACCATATAATGTAGTCAAACATTTACCAAAGTCAGTCGGAGAAGAGTAAAAACATCTTTTCCATGGAGAAAAGCCTTCAGTGCCGTTCTTTGTTTTTGCTCTAATGTAGAAATACTCTTGTTCTGATAGAATGCTAGCAGCATCTACGCTAACCTCTTTAACAGCCGCCATTGTTTTTTTGGAGCTAACAGTCACTTTTCAAACACATCGTCAGACACAGCTAGCGTTAAATCACAGCTGTATCTCATGCCATGGCTGCCAGAAGTGGATTGGTCCAAACCACTGTGGTTTGCGTATGCTTAAAGCCTGGCATGATGGATTCTTGTGGATTCTCAAATTCTGGGATCTTCGGAATTCAGCGGCTGAGCAAGTTAGAAAGTTCATTTGTGGTGAAAAAATTAAGTAAAGAAGTTGGTAAGTGAAGCCAGTTGGCCTCAGTCCTTGCTGTACTGAGTTTGCGCTTTCTTTTGGGAAGTGATGAGATGCCAAATAATAGCAGTGTGAATATTCTACATTCACACAACACGCCATTATTGGCACGTTCATGTTATTCATCCGTACCACTTGTGTCCATATATTTTTGAAGGGTTAAGCAAACACTTTTGACAGTGGCACAGGGCTTCATTGTGTCAAAATTTAATTTGTGACCTTTTTTTGTGTTGTGTTTATATTTAGCATGAGTGTATTTGTGTTAAGCCAAATAAACACATGGTAAATTTGAGGCCAGGTAGCGTTCCACCTAGAAAAATTGTATGTTACACAGTAGGGTTCAATAGGGGCACAGCAGCTCATTTTTGCCTTGGGCCATATGACATGTTAATCTGCCCATGACTTGGTGCCAAAGTAAAAATGTTATCGTGACAATGCTTTCCTACTGTTCTCTTTTCAGCCTCATCTGTGCATCATTGAATCATTGAATCGCTCAAATGAATCATTTATTTGCTTCTTTATTTAGCTTGCATTTCTATTTTTCTAGCTCAACTCCTTGTGGACGGGCTGTGTCTGTGTTTGCGGGAATGAGTGTGTAAGTGGTCTGGTGGTGGTCCATGATCTGCTTTGTGTGTGTGTGTGTGTGTGTGTGTGTGTGTGTGTGTGTGTGTGTGTGTGTGTGTGTGTGTGTGTGTGTGTGTGTGTGTGTGTGTGTGTGTGTGTGTGTGTGTGTGTTTTTGTGACAGGTTCCCAAGGGCAAAGTTTGAGTGTGTGTGTGTGCGTGCCCCCAGTGCCGGTTAATTGGTTTGCTGTGATAGCAGGGGCCCCCGGGTTTATTGCTCAGGCCACTGCAGAGCGCTGCCTGAGGTGGACCGAGAGGAAGATGGAGATCACATAAGAACACACAGCGAGCAGGAGACCAAGGAGAGATGTCGGGAAAATATGGAAGAGGTGATGATGGATAAAGGGAGAGAGAAAGACAGACAGAGGAATGGAGGGATGGGGATTTAGGAAGAGATGATTTTATTCATATTCACCGGCTGGCCCTGGCTGGTGTAATGGGCACATGAGGTGATGAGTGTGTGTGTAAGAACATCTCTCTCTGAATGTGTGAATGTGTGTGTCTACTGTGTGTCTGTGAGTGTGTGCACCCGTGTGTGCTCTCACTTGCCTTGGACTGCATGCTTGTGCGTGCGTGTGAGCCCCGGGGTGTGTTCCTGCAGCACAGAGGGGCTCCAGCTGGAGGCTCCGTGTGTTCCCCCCCTTCTGCACTGTCTGCTCCCCTCTTCCCTCCTTCTTTTCTTACCTCCTCCATCTATCCTTCTCTGCTTTCTTCCATTCTTCCTTCTTTCCTTGCCTTCTCCCTCCATTCCTCTCATTTCTCTTTCTTCCCTCCTCGCATCCTACAATCATCCCATCTTCCATCCTTTTCACTTTCTTCTTCTTTTCCACCATCCACGTTATGTGTTCTTTGGCCTTTCCCTCCCTCATTACATCTGTCCCATCTCTTCTACTCCCTAAACTCCCTCCTCCCCCTTTCTTTTCCTTATCTGTGCACCCATTTCCACCCGTGCCCCTCACCATCATTTGATGGGCTCTGTCTGTAGATGGATGATACACACAACAGCCACCTCCTGCACATGCTCCACTCTGGCAGGAGTAGTGGGATGGTGCCTGTTCGTGTCCCTCCGTCACCATGGCGATGCCAGGCTGGCGCCACTTTATGGCCCGTGTATTTCCACACCCACCCCACCACAACCAATATCACCATCAACTCTGCCACCCCGAGGTGCTACCCGTCTGATTATCTGACCGCCTGATTATCTGAGTGCTTGACAGTCTGTGAGTCTAGACTCTGACTTAACAGGAATCCAGACTGCAACTACCTATGGCCATGAACTTTTGGTAGTCTCTTAATATGCAAACAAAAACAGACCTTTTGACTTGATTTTATGCATATTATGGTGCATTCTTTGTACTATGACAGTTCAGTCAGACAACTCACGTTTGAAATGTTTATTACAGCAGTATAGCATAGTTAGATTTTGCCGTCTCGGCTCCAACTTTATCCCTATATGTTATGATATGTTTATTTAGAGATATTGGGGAGTGATGAGCAAATACCTCAAACCCCGTAGCTGGAGCCTACAGGTGGATGCTGGGGTGGTGGTGGGGCTTAAAGAACGACAGGCAGCAATAGTAATGCAGGACAGCAGCGGCATTGACAGAGCAGAGAGAGAGCTGGAAAATTTTGCAGTTTAAATAGACCGCCAGATTGGAAGGGTGCCCTTGATTTGTGATTATGGAGAGTGAGGCATGTCATCTGTTTATAGAAGTGCAGCTCAAGTTGACTGTCTCAACTAGCTTGCAGGCTACACTCCATTAATCCTAAACTTTGATTTTTGAAAAATTGCAATATATCGCGTTGCTTACAGTATTGCAATGTATCGCAATATATATCGCAACCCCTATATTGTGATTGTATTGCCAGATTCTTGTCAATAAATGTATTACTAATTAACAAACATGCTAACAAGCTAAACTAAGATAATGAACATGGTAAACATGAGCATGTTAGCGTCCCATTAGCATGGCCGTAGAGTCTAGGTGTCCAGGTGTTACAGAAGGTGTGTCTTTTCACCTACCAATAACTTGGCTAAGTATAGACATCGGCTAGCAGAGGCACATTAACCGGCAGGTTTTATTTTAGCTATTTCTAAATTAGTGTTAATTAACTAAAGCTGATACCATTTTCTGGCAAAAGTGACTGTTAGCACTAGCTAAAAGTGAGAATCCTGAATGTTATCTAAATTGCTCTTTGCTAATTAAAAGGAGGGAGCTAGGAGAGATAAAAGGTTGGACAAGAGATTTGTTAATGTTGGAGATAAGTGAATCTGGGTATTTCACTGGAAATGGACCTTAGCTATTGGAATCCAAACGTAGATATATAACACTGTGAGGAGGAGAGGAGATTATGGTTAGATAAGTGGGGCTATAGGAGAAAAGGGAGTTTATCTTCCTATCTATCTTTTCGCATTTCCTATGTTCTGATTGTTTCTCAATTTCTTCATTTGTGTCTGTCACCTCCTCTCATTCTCCATCCTGTTGTCTGCCACTGTCTTAAACTTCCTGTCTTTTCTTCCTCTTCCATCCCTCTATCCATCTGGCTTCATGGGCCGTTACTCGCCATTTCCCACTGCCATCCCTCACTCCCACTTCATCCTCTCCTTTCTCTCTCTCTCTCCTCCACAGAGGTAGTCTGACGCTGTGTGCTTCTCAGTGGGCTCTTACAGTCCATCCCACGCCTGGATCACTCTCTTACACACATGCAAACACACATAAACACACTCCACATCCCCATCCAAACCCCTTACCATCCCAACCTAAATTAGATCCTGCTTGCTTCATTCTCCCCTAACCTTCCAAATTTGTCACTGCATGAATCGGCGGAGCAGAGGGATAGTGTGGGGGCGGTGCTCTGCTCCTTCCTCCTGACACTAATGTGACTTTACAAGTCATTTGTCACAGACGTATGGCGCAGCCACCCTCCGTCTGAGAGCTACGAGAACTTGTGTGCATGTTTCAGTTTTTAAAGGAAGTAAGACGGACTGTAGGTTGCAGAGGTGTGGACTCGAGTCACATGATTTGGACTCAAGTCAGACTCAAGTCACAAATTAATTTCAATGACTTGTGACTTCACTTCGCTGTGATACTTTCCCCTAAGACCATTCCTTCATTTTCTGAATCAACTTACGTTAAGGCTATCCAGTCGACACCTAATTCTCCAGATCCACTTTGTTTGAACCAATGTGACAGCATCCAATCAATTTGCAGCAGGGCAAATAAAGATCATTTTTGGTTTGTCTGTTCTGTT